GCCACATCCTGATTCCTACTCTAAAGTTCAAGGGGTTTAAATACGGTGGACCTCACTCCCCCACACACACACCCTCAGCCCACCCACCCACCCTGCATATTGCCAGTGAAGAGGAGAGGACCAGGTCAGAGTCACACTAAGAACAGAGGTCACCTCTGAGAGCCAGGAACACCGGACGCTAACTCTTGGGCAACCCCTGACTTGGGACAGAGCCATGGGCCTCTCCTTCCCTTCAGACTGCCTGTGGCCTTCATGAAGCCCAGAAAGAATGCAGTGAGTCTGTACTATCCTTTTCCCATTCCTTGACCCCTTGTACTTGCTCACAGAATCCTCAAGAAATAGCTGCATCTTCTCATGCAGAAGAAATTATAGTTACATGTGTGTACATGCACATATATTCCATTGGGCACACACCTGAATACAAACATATGTACACTTCTCAGGCTGCTGCCTAGTTCCATTGGAAACCCTGGGTATAAAGGGAAGAATGTATTCACAAGGTTGCTTCATAATAATGGGAGATTTCTTCCACATAGATGCTATTTTAGGGGGAAACAGGGCAACTAACAAACATATCTAATTGGTAGTGCTAATGCCCTGTTCTGCAATTACCACTTCCACTGAGCTCTACCAATTACCACTGAGCTCTACTTACTGGGGTTTTTTTGTTGTTTTGTTTTTTCTGACAAGTTAGATCTGGATCTGGCTTCTAGCCTGATATCACTGTTCTCCTAAAGTCTGAATTTATAGACAGGCATGGGCTCAAAATCTGGCTTTGCAGCTTCAGGTTTTTGTTCACACAAAGCATGTGTTGTCTTCCTCTTGAAGCCCCCTTCCACCTCCCTCCTCACCCCATCCCTGCAGGTTGTCACAAAGCACTGGCATTGGGTGTCTTGCATCATACATCAAACTCCCTCAAAGAGTTGGACATGACCGAGTGACTGAACTGAACTGAACTGGTGTTTCAACGCTATTCTATCAAAGATTATTTGAATCAGTAAATTTCAGTTGAAAATGGAATTGAGAGTTAGATATATCATTTCAAAATACACATTTTGTTCTTTCTCTACCCATAAATATGTTACAATGTCTGAATGTTCTTTTTCAACAGGAGAGGACATATGTACACCTATGGCCGATTCGTGTTGATGAATGCAAAAACCATCACAGTACTGAAAAGTAATTACCCTCCAATTAAAATAGATAAATTTTAAAGAGGAAAAAAAATGTTGTTTATTTCCCTTTTGAAAAGCAAAGTGTCTAGATTTTGAGCTGAGGGCAAGATCAGAACATCCTTGGGCACTATTCAGTTTTTACAGGGAAGGAGAGGTAAAGCCCAAGCAAAAGAGATGGACTTCCCTGGTGGTGCTAGCAGTAAAGAACCAGCCTGCCAAAGCAGGAGACATAAGAGATGCAGGTTTGATCCCTGGGTCTGAAGATCCCTTGGAGGACAGCATGGCAACCCACTCCACTATTCTTGCCTGGAAAATCCCATGGACAGAGGAGCCTGGCAGGTTACAGTCCATAGAGTCACACAGAGTTGGACTTGACTGAAGTGACTTAGCACACACGCATGCAAATGGACAAAACACACGATGGAGGAAGAGGTGGGCCAGATGCTTGAAAAGGCCTTTCCTGGCAAGGGGGAGAGCTGGAGCAGAAGGTCAGCACAGCCCAGGGGTAAGCAAGGGAGAGGAGAGCAGTGTGGGCCCAGAGCAGCAGCAGACCTGGCCCATCAAAGACACACACGTGAACTCTCTAGAGAGAAGCATGACCAATTTAGGTCCTCAGAATTCCTAACATCAGCAAACAATGAGCTCACAACCAAAAATTACTAAACATAGATAGAATCAAGACCCTGTGAATGGCAGTCATCAAGAACAGTGGACAACATGACCCCTGCCTGGTCTTGGTCCAGAGCCACCGTCTCCAGCCAGGCTGCCTCCTGACTCTTCCCATCCCATCCAGCTTCCATGTGTCACCATGGCTTTCCAGGAGTTTTCACAACTTAATTCTTCCTTGATTCCCTTCTATCTACAAAACAAAACTCAAACTCCTCAGCAGAGAGGCCTTTCACAACACAAAGGCAGCGTCCGTTTCTACACTCTTGTCTTCCTACCCCAAATTTCTTACCTAACCCAACTCCCTATATCCACATATTACACACACAGTAAGCGTGTGTGTGTGCTCATTCAGTCATGTCTGATTCTTTGTGATTCTATGGACTGTAGCCCACCAGGCTCCTCTGTCCATGGGATTCTCCAGGTAAGAATACTAGAGTGGGTTGCCATGCCCTCCTCAAGGGGATCTTCCCAACCCAATAACTGAACCTGCATCTCCTACATTGCAGGTGGATTCTCTACCCCCACTGAGCCAGCTGGGAAACACGCTGGACAGTGTAGCCTCCCTGAATACGTCACTCACTTTCTTGCCTCCGTGCCTTTGCATGAGCTATTCCCTCTTCCTGGAATGTCCTTCCCTATCTTCTCCAAATGGCAAATTCCTAGTGCCTTTCCCAAGGCAGTAAAGGTGGCACCTCCTCTCTGAAGGTCATCTGACTTCCCCAGAGTTAGTCACTGCTTTCTTTGAATTTGTTTTGTAATATCCCAGATGGTCACAGAAGGCAGCAACTTTGTGTTAGTAAATTCTTCAGCATTTGACTCACTGTGGCTCCTCAGGACATATTTATTGAGGCAATAAAGAATAAATAAAGAGCTTTGGAATCAGACACACCTATGTTCAAATCCTGTCTCTGTCATTTCCTAGCTTTATGACCTAGGGATTCTGTTTGACTGAACCTGGGACTATAAAATGGATATAATAAACCCTGCCACAGAGGACAAAACCCATTACCCCTTCCACTCCCGTGGCAGAAATCACTAATCAATCATTGCACTCTGCCCACCAAGTCTTAGAATCTTCAGTGTGGATTCAAGGCAGCCCCTGTCTTATTTATGAAGCTGGCTAATGGCACAAAAGCTACTTCCCATCTGAAAGTAAAGTCCTTGTCCCAAGCTAACTCACAATGAGTGGCACTTATTACTATTTTATTTCCTCAAGTCTAAGATTGTTAGATGCCTGCTATGGGAAAGGTAGGGAAATGTTTCCATATTAAGTACCCACAGATCATCTCTAAGATATACTCTGATCTCAGAGATTACAATGTGGAAATGATGAGTCTTATTAGAGCTGAGAAAATCTATGGAGGTTGTTGAGTGAATGAACTTCAAGCAGAGATGCTGGGGACCCTAAAAGGCTCTCTGATCTGGATTTGCCTGCCTACTTAGGCCCTGGCCATGTGGCTGTGAGGCAGAGAGCATGAGGACACGGTAATGCCCAGGGTCCCGACTGCATCCATCTGGCCTGAACACGACCTCGGCCTATAGCTGAAACGATATGAAAGGACATATTTGCTCTGTACCCGGCCCCACCTTCAGAATTAGGATGACCCTAATTAATCCTAATTCACGGCCCCCTGCTTTTATACTCCCTCATTTTTAAATTATGGTAAAATACCAATCACATAAAATTTTCCATTTTGACCATTTTAAGTGTACATCTCAATGGCATCAATTACACTCACAATATTGTGTAACCATCACCACCATCCGGAGAAGGAAATGGCAACCCACTCCAGTATTTCATGGGCAGGGGGATTTCATGGATAGGGAGGATTTCATGGACAGCGGGGATTTCATGGACAGGGGAGCCTGGTGGGATCGCAAAGAGTCGGACACGACTGAGTACACAGCACCACTATCTGGTTCCAAAACTTTTTTATCACCTTGAACAGAAACTCTTTACCCATTAAACACAAATTCCCTTTTCCTCCTCTTCTTAGCTCCTGGCAACCACCATTCTTCATTCTGTAGCTACAGATTTGACTAGTCTGGGTCCCTCATTTCAGTGGAATCATACAATATTTGTCCTTTTATGTCTGGGCTCTTTCACTTAGCTATTTCACATATTTTAAAGGTCTGCTCATGTGTCAGAACTTCATTCCTTTTTATGGCGGAATACTGTACCTTACTGTACTGTATTTTTTTGTCCATTCATCTGTCCGTGGATACCTGGGTTGTTTCTGCTGTATAGTTATTGTGTGAATAATGCTGCTATAAACAGGGTGTACAGGTATCTGTTTGAGTCTTTGCTTTCACTTCTTTGGGATTCATGCTTAGGAGTGGAATTGCTGAGTTATATGGTACTACATTCACCCTTTTGAGGAATTGAGCATACTGCTTTTTAAGAATGCTCTTGGTGTTGCCAGCTAAATGGTTTTGGAAGCCCTTCTGCATCCAATGAAAGTGAAAGTTGCTCAGTTGGATCTGCCTGCAATGCGGGAGACCTGGGTTTGATCCCTGAGTTGGGAAGATCCCTGGAGAAGCGAACAGCTACCCACTCCAGTATTTTGGCCTGGAGAATTCCATGGGCTGTATAGTCAAATGGGGTCACAAAGAGTCAGATACGATTGAGTGACTTTCACTTTCATTTACATTTCATTTCAGCATCCAGTTATACCAATTATACTCCTTGGGAGTACTATATTTCCAGAGCTTATCATCTACCATGTGAAGTCAGAGGCACAATACTGTCATCGTGCTTCAGAGAACAGGCTTTGAGACTTAAGACTCAGCCCCTATTGTTGCCCTATGCAACTTTGGGTGAGTGTGTCAAATTTCTGGACCTGCATCCTCATGTGGAAGATGGGAATAATGGTAGCTATGTTGAAGGAGTGCTAAGAGGCTGCATTAGCTGATGGAGGTGCAGTGCTCGGCAGTCAATACAAGGTCATGACTACTTTATTATTGCTCGTGAGGAACTGTTCTCAATCCCTTTTTTACAACTGATGGTGCACTGAATGTGTAAGAATCTGAAACAGGAAGCATTTGAAGCTCACAAGCTAAATTAAAAGTAATAATCTCAAGAGGCGACATCTTTCTTGGAATCCAAGTTCCATTTAAATCCAAAGAGGTGCTGAGGACTGGGTCAGAGTTACTTACAGGTGAGACAAGGAAGTCACGTCTGCAAAGATGCCCTCTTGGAGGGTGGAGATGTCATTGCCATGCAGGGACCTGAAGAGAGAAGAGGCCGTCAGGACTCAGCCTGAGACGGAGACTCAGGAACTGATGCAGAGACGCCCTCTGCTGAGAAGGGCGTGTTTGAGGGAGAGGGTCCCTGAGTGAGAGATCCTGCTAGGATGGCCACTGGCAAGGAGAGGCTAGCACAGACTCTGTGACTGTCACAGGCCACGCTGACCCTCAGCCCCGCCGGAGGGCCCCGCTTGTGCTGTCATGACTAACACACGTACCACGTCTGTTCACAGGACAAACGGACATGCGCCCTCCCTAACTCAGCCAGGGAGCCTGAGGGGGACAGGCTTCTTCCCGAAAGGGAAGCTACTAGTGAGACCCTGGCTGAGGGTGAAGAATGCGCTGCCAGAGGACTTGGGGCAAGGATATTCCAGAGGCCGTGCTGTGAGCACAGGGCTGTGAGCCACAGGCCACACCTCGCAGTGGGAATTCTTGAGAGCAAGTTCAACATTCACCATTTGACTCACATGCCAGCGAGAGGCTACCTTACCTTGAATGCCTAGGAACTTGCCCCCGTACACATACGGCAAACAACTTGGGGCCGACAGCAGCCCCTGGTTGCTGGATTCTCTGAGACAGAAGACTTAAGCCCCTTCTGTCTATGCAACTTTGGGTGAGCGTTCCCCAAAGTCTCCCATGTATTCCTGGGCCTCCTTTAGGAGCCCGAATGAGAGTGGACTGGCCTTCCACTTTGGACACAGTTGGCCCTGCTGGGACCCTGGACACGGGGACATTCCTGCCCAGCAGCGGGGTGAGGAGGGACGCGGGGACATTCCTGTCCACCGGTGGATGAGGAGGCCCCTCGTGCGGCAGATTTCCCCAGAGGAGTGGAGAATGGGGATACTCACAGCAGGCGCAGGGAGCGAAGCCCCTGGAAGGCCAGAGGAGGGATACACTGCAGGGCGTTGTAGCTGAGGATCCTGGGGGAAGGAAGAGCGAGGGAGGGTGGGGGGAAGGGAGGGAGGAAGGGGGAAGAGTTATTAAGGGGTGCCGCCTCTGGTGCTGATGCAGATGGTCACCATCTTGACCATGGTGATGATTCCGTGGGCATGAACATAAATCAAAATGTGTCAACTTTTACACTTTAAGGATATACTATTAGATACTAATTATACTTCACTAGAGCTATTTTTAAAATAATAACAAGAGAAATGAGACATTTTTATCACAGGAAAGGGCTGTTCCTCCTTACAGCTGCCAGGATCGCCTAGCCCAGGATTTCTCAGCCTCAGCACTGTTGACAATTCCTTGTTGGGGGTGGAGGGGGGCTGCCCTGTGTGTGCTGTAGGGGTGCTGAGCAGCATCTCTGGCCTCTGAAAATGAAATGCCAGGGGTTCCCCCTGCCCTCCGCCAGCTATGACAGCCAAAAATCCTCAACTATTCCTGAGTGCTCCCTGGGGGGCAGAGCCACCCCTGGTTACCAATGCCACAGGCCATGGCAGCTTCACACATAGGTTCATAAAGAAAAAAAATTGCCTGCCAATCCAGTTCCACAAGGATCAAGCCATTATTGACAGTGCACCCTGAGGGGAATTCAGAAAAGAGAAAGACAGAAAACATTCTGTGCTTTGAATATACTGGCCTTTAGAGCGTTCACATGCAAATCTAAGGAAAAAAATTCAAATGACCCCAGACTCTTGCATCCTCCCATAGGTAGAAAAGCACTAAAGTCATTCACTTGAGATATGTTTTTTGTGATTAGCAGTAACCTTTTGATGTGTGACTACATGTTTTTCTCAGGAAAAAAGTTCCTCTGTATCCTGGCTCCTCCCTTACCTCTTCAGAGCAGTTCCTCAGACCTATCTGAGAGGCCATCTATGGGCTTAACTCAACTTTTATGTTATGTATTTTTCTTTCAGTCAATAGGCTCATGAAGACTTTGAAGTGGGAACCCAGGGCAGGAAAATGCAGCAGACCCAGGGCAGGAAAGTGCAGCGTTTCATGGCCTCAGGCCCACATTTTGTTCCTGGGGTCCTGTCTGGGTCAGGAACCTGTCTTTTGGGATACTGGCTCTGCTATTTGACCACAGTAGGGCCTAAGGGAAAGTTCTTAAGTTCTTGGCACATCATCTTAAAATGAGGTGTTGGGAAGGTGAACAAAATACCTTCTTAAGCAGGCAAATATAAGCAATGCTTGTTACTACTTTCCAACCAATTGCTTGGAATGTAAGTAAAGCAATCATTAAAATATCTTAGAACATAGGCACAAAAATGTTCAGAGTCACCATTCGCAATAGTCCAAACTGGAAACAATCCAAATATTCATCAACAGTAGAATGGATGAGGAAAGTGTGGCATATTCCTACAAAGGAATACTATATAGCAATGAAAATGAAGAGACCACAGTTTCACACAGACACAATAGTAAATAAAAGAAGACAGACATAAAAGACTATATCCTATATGATTCAATTTATATAAGGCTCAAAAATGGGCAAAATTAAACTTCATTGTGTAGAAATACGTGTGTAGATGGCACTATAAAGACCAAAGAGATCATTGTAGAAGTCTGAGTAGGGACGGCCTCAGGTGCAGGGAGAGAAAAGAAGAAGAATCAGGAAGGGACAGGGGACTCTTGGGGTGCTAGCTGTGTTCTAAGTTTTGCCTTAGGTATTTATACATGTGCTAGTTTTATGACTATTTGTTAAATTGTATGTTTATGTTCTTTGCACTTTTCCATATATATGCTATATTTCACAATAAAAAAAAAATGTTTCTGAAAAGTCTTTTTGGCCAGCAGGCCCTGGCACCCTCCCTGGAGGCTGAGGGAGGCTACGTGGGGACACCTGCTGATGACCGAGGCTTGGGGAGAGACCTGGTAACCATGAGCTCTCCCTCCTCCTCCCCCCATGGGACTCACAGAGTGGTCAGCTGACTCATGTTGGTGAAGGAGGAATTGCTTAAGGAACTGATCTTGTTGTTACTCAGGTCCCTGGAAAAGAAAAAAAAAAGTATCATCATTTAGAAAGAAAAGACTCCCTTCCCACTCTGGCCACAGCCGTCTCCCAGCCACGGGGGGGCAAGTGGCTCTGACCACTGGCAGGTGGGAGCTGATGGAAGAGGCATTTGGTTCGCAACCAGCTACAGCTCCCCAGCTCTGATCCCTTCCGGGTCTCCATTTCTTCATCCCGCACCCTGGCGCCACCCCTGCCCACCATGGAAATACTCCCACCAAGGGCATCCGGGTCTCTCAACTGCCAGGTGGGAGGGGCTCTCTTCCTTTCTCTCTCACTAGCACCTTACGTGGGTTCGTTCACTCCCCCTCCCTATAATCCTATGGAAGAGGTAGTAAACCCATTCTACAAAAGAAGGGGCAGGGTCTCAGGGTGATGAGGTGACCCACCCAGGGCCACACAGCCGGGAGGAGGTTCGGCCAGAGTCAGACCCTCGTCCATCGGCCCCTAAGGCCCTGGTCACTAAATGTGCTCTCAGAGTGACCCTGCAGTGCTGACCCTATTGACCACCCTCTTCTCAAGCCTCTCCTCCGCCTCCAGTCTCCACGCACTTCCCCTTGCCGCTCAGCTGCACTTCTCCTCAGCCACCCCTGACGGACGGTCGTCACTAAGCCCTGGTCTTGCTTCCTCTTCCTATAGTCCTTCCCCCGCCCCCCCGGGTGCTCCAGGATTCCCTCCGCGTCGGGCACAGACGGTGTCCTCCGCGGTCCCAGCCGGACCTCTCTTTCCCCGTGATAAAGGAGGTGCTGGTATTTCAGACCCGACAGGCAGCTTCATAGTACCAACTGCCTTGACTTCAGTCCCCTCTCCCTCCCTTCCTCTTCAAGTGGGTGCTAGCTGTGTTCTAAGTTTTGCCTTAGGTATTTATACATGTGCTAGTTTTATGACTATTTGTTAAATTGTATGTTTATGTTCTTTGCACTTTTCCATATATATGCTATATTTCACAATAAAAAAAAAATGTTTCTGAAAAGTCTTTTTGGCCAGCAGGCCCTGGCACCCTCCCTGGAGGCTGAGGGAGGCTACGTGGGGACACCTGCTGATGACCGAGGCTTGGGGAGAGACCTGGTAACCATGAGCCCTCCCTCCTCCTCCCGCCATGGGACTCACAGAGTGGTCAGCTGACTCATGTTGGTGAAGGAGGAATTGCTTAAGGAACTGATCTTGTTGTTACTCAGGTCCCTGGAAAAGAAAAAAAAAAAGTATCATCATTTAGAAAGAAAAGACTCCTTTCCCACTCTGGCCACAGCCGTCTCCCAGCCACGGGGGGGCAAGTGGCTCTGACCACTGGCAGGTGGGAGCTGATGGAAGAGGCATTTGGTTCGCAACCAGCTACAGCTCCCCAGCTCTGATCCCTTCCGGGTCTCCATTTCTTCATCCCGCACCCTGGCGCCACCCCTGCCCACCATGGAAATACTCCCACCAAGGGCATCCGGGTCTCTCAACTGCCAGGTGGGAGGGGCTCTCTTCCTTTCTCTCTCACTAGCACCTTACGTGGGTTCGTTCACTCCCCCTCCCTATAATCCTATGGAAGAGGTAGTAAACCCATTCTACAAAAGAAGGGGCAGGGTCTCAGGGTGATGAGGTGACCCACCCAGGGCCACACAGCCGGGAGGAGGTTCGGCCAGAGTCAGACCCTCGTCCATCGGCCCCTAAGGCCCTGGTCACTAAATGTGCTCTCAGAATGACCCTTCAGTGCTGACCCTATTGACCACCCTCTTCTCAAGCCTCTCCTCCGCCTCCAGTCTCCACGCACTTCCCCTTGCCGCTCAGCTGCACTTCTCCTCAGCCACCCCTGACGGACGGTCGTCACTAAGCCCTGGTCTTGCTTCCTCTTCCTATAGTCCTTCCCCCGCCCCCCCGGGTGCTCCAGGATTCCCTCCGCGTCGGGCACAGACGGTGTCCTCCGCGGTCCCAGCCGGACCTCTCTTTCCCCGTGATAAAGGAGGTGCTGGTATTTCAGACCCGACAGGCAGCTTCATAGTACCAACTGCCTTGACTTCAGTCCCCTCTCCCTCCCTTCCTCTTCAAGTATATCCACATCACTAGTGAAGCTGCCTCAAATTAGACCAAAAAGTGCTGTCTCTGTCTCTGTCAGCTACAAAGCACTCTAACTACCATCTTCACCTCACCATTGGAACAGTCACTCAAAACACAATGGCTAGGTCATCAGCAAAGACAGAAAAACGGAAGTGTCAACGTTCTGTTAAGTCAGTGCTACTCAATGTGAACTTGAACTGAATGTCCCCAAACAAGGGACCTGTGCCAAAATGCAATCACCTATGGGCTTCCCTGGTGACTCAGGTGGTAAAGAATTGGCCTGCAATGTGGGAGACCTGTGTTCGATACCTGGGTTGGGAAGATTCCCTGGAAGAGGGCATGGCAATCCACTCCAGTATTTTTGCCTGGAGAATCCCCAAGGACAGAGGAGCCTGGCAGGCCACAGTTCATGGGGTTGTAAAGAGTCGGACACGACTAAGCACAACATGATACTAAACACATAACTTAGTTTAGCTAACATTTTTTCCATAGCAATACTTCCCCAATGAAGGAAGAAACTGTGTTGATAAAAATTCTGATGCAAGTTCTTTATCTAATTGCAGGCACTTTACAAAGAGTTCTCAAACTGCCATTGACCCACAGACCACATTTTGAGTAGCAGTGCTCCAAGGCACTTAAGATGAAATATTCTCTGGGCTTCTTTTTGACAGAATCTGGACAATGGGCAGACAAAGACAATTGAAGTGAGTTGTTGATTAAACTGGAAGGCTAAGAGGAGCTAAACTTATTATGAGGCTTACTTTGTACATTTTCATGAAGTAGAAAGGTCAAAGGTGGAAATAACAGAATAGTAGATGTTAGCCTACAGAAAAAGTTAATTACAGATGCGTATTTGAGGCTGCCATATCTCATATTTTGTTTGGAAGCCAACGTTGGATCAAGAAGTTTTCCATAACTCTCTACTCCTGCTCTGGCTCCTACCTTTGCAAGGATAACCCTCATTAATAGTAATTATCAGCTTCCAGGGACACTTCAGGGATGGTGCCGGCAGAAGTAAAGCCAATCCAACCCCAGAGAGCCAGGAACAATGCAATTCCTAAGAATGGCCACTAGGTGGCAAAACAGTTCTATGCACAGATGTTCCCAACAGGATGCAGTGAAATTAAAGAACAGATCAGTACCAGACAGGGAACATAGCCAATATTTATAATAACTATAAATAGAGTATATTCCTTAAAAATTGTGAATCACTGTATTGTACACCTGTAACATATACTATTGTACATAAACTATGTGAAGTGAAGTGAAAGTCACTCAGTCGTGTTTGATTGTGACTCCATGGCCTATACAGTCCAAGGAATTCTCCAGGCCAGAATACTGGAGTGGGTAGCCTTTCCCTTCTCCAAGCGATCTTCCCAACCCAGGGATCGAACCTAGGTCTCCTGCATTGCAGGCGGATTCTTTACCAGCTGAGCCATAAGGGAAGCCCAAGAATACATAAACTATACTTCAATTAAAAAAAAAAACAAAATGAATAAACCAGAGTGGGGTCTGTAGGGAATTCCAGGAAAGCTGGAGCAATAATAGCTCGATCCCTACGGCCCTCCTGTCCTCTGAGACGGGCCAGGATACTCACACAAGCTGCAGGTACTTGAAGGTGGACAGCTGTGCTGGAACCAGCGTGAACTGGTTCCCGTCCAGGTAGCTGCAGGAGAGAACCGCAGTTAGTGCAGCCACCTCAGCCTCAAGCAGAGTCCAGCACTGCAAGAACCTTCCCCTGCAGCCAGGGCCTTCTCACCCATGTCCTTTCCTACCGATGGACTACACATTTGGCCCTGAATCATTAACTGGAGGAGAAAATACAGACATTTCTTAGGCCATCTGGGAAGGTGCCACCAAAAAAACTTGGTAGAAGCCACGGACACATGAAGCCTCCTATGGCTTTCTTCCTGAGCCCCTGCCTGGCCCCCTCAGCATCCTCCCTGTCAGCGGACACCACAGGCTCAGTCCAGGGGCCTCTGCCCTCCGCTCTTTCCTCTCCAATCTTTCTGGCCACACAGGTCTGATTGGCCTGTTACTACCCACCTGCCAGCCCTCAGCAGCTTGCAGGTCCTTCTCTCTGCCTGCTGGTGAGGTGCCTGAGGCTGGTCCCCGACCCCAACACTCCCAGACCTGAGTTCTGTGTTTTCACACCCACATGGGCTTCCCCTGGCTCCATCAGCACCACACTGCCTGTTCCTAAACTAGCCAGGCGCAGGACCCTGAGAGGAATCTCCACCTCCCTCTGCAGCCTGTTCCATGACTGACTTAGCGTCTCCCACCCACTGGTCTCTAATCATTCACTTTTGTTCCGTTCTCATACCCCTCCTTCCCTGATGGCACCAGCCCCCAGGCCTGGGCTCCTGCAGCAGCTTTCTTCTGTTCTCCCCACCGGGGCCTCCATTCTGCTTCTTACTACATAACCACCACCCAATCACTGTCCTTAAAGCCTAGCCGCTGAACTCCTTGTCAAGTTTCCCAGGGCTCCCCTTGTCTACAGGGCAGAGCTTGGGATTCGAGATGCTGTGACCTGCCCTCCCAGCCCCACGACCGCAGCCATCAAAAAGCCAACCTGAGCTCCTGGAGCTGCAGCCCCACCAAGAGCAGCCCTTAGGATGCCTTGTCCACCCTCCAGAGGTCCTGGTCACCCTCTCCTCCTGCCAGCAGGCGGGGGCTACTCACAGCTCTGTGACATTCTTGGGGATGCCCTTGGGCAGGTTCTGGAGGTGCTTGTTGCTGCATCGAACCACGGTGTCCAGGCAGGCGCACTCCTGGGGGCACTGCGGGCGAGGCAGGCAGCCCCCCTCCTCCTGGCCTGGGGAGGAAGGTGAGAAGCCACGTCAGTGAGGGGACAGGCCTCCTCAGGGCCTCATGCAGCCAGGGCCCCGCTTCAGGGCACCTCGGAACAGAGGCGTCTTGCTGACACCACGCTGTATGCCAGTCAGTCCTCTCGGCTGCAGCCCTCCTCCACCATGGCCAAAGCCCTTTGGATCTGTTTTGAGGTTAGAATCGGTCTTGGGGTTCACCTCTTCCACCTCAGGCCTGGGATGGACCTGGGCACAGCAGCGAAGGAGGATGGCAGCCCCACCATTTCTTGAGCACCTACTGTGTGCCGGACACTGTACCAAATGCAATTTCTTTAATGATGCGGTAAACGGGGACCACCATTGCTCCTAGAATGTGAGCGTCATGGGGACGGAGACCTGTGTCCCTTTCTTCTCTGTTCACTGAAGGGGCCCAGGACTGAGAGCAGGGCCTGGCCCATATCAGCCTCCAAACAGGTCAGTTGAATGAAGGAATGAAGGACTTTCTATCTTACTGAGATTGGGAGAGGCTAAATAGCTTGCTCAGGTCAGGAGGTTGATCAGAGGCAACATGGAATCTGTACCCAGATCTGGCTGGCCCAGAATCTGAGCCCCTTCTTTCCCAACATCCTTCACAGATTCATTCATGTATTCAATAAATAGTTCTGAGCACCCTCTGTGTTCCTCTTTTCCTTCTGCTTGAGTGTAGGAGGGACGATAAGGACGCCAGGGTCCCAGGAAGCAGACTGGAAAGAGGATAGGAGGTGCTGAAAAAGATGGGGAGAAGCCAGGAGGCTGAAGCTGAAGGCAGGTGGAGAAATTCCCAGTGCCGGGGCTCCTGAACACAGACAGCTGGGCCAAGACAGGACCTTGCTCTGTCACTTCCAACAGTTGCCTATGTGTGTGATGCTCTGGAGGGGGAGGCAGGGGATGGAGGGATGGGCTAGATTCTGTGAGTGTGGGTAAAGAAGGACGTGACTCCAGGAGAGAGATCGAGGATTCAGGGAAAAGAGAACACTGACACAAGAAGTGACCCAAGTATGGAGGATGGGGGCCCCCAAGAGAGTCCCGGGGGGTACTGCAGACAAGCTGAATCCATGGTCTGGAGCCCTTAGCAACAGCTAGGAGGTAGGTCTCTGGGTTAAACATACTTAAAGAAATTACACTAAGATGTTAACTATGATTTTCTCTGAGTGAGGAGCTAATAGGTAACATTTATGCCCTTCCTTTGTCTGTATTTCCCCATTTTTTAAAACAGTAAGCCCACTATCCTGCGCCCTCGGAGCCGCACTCACACCGTGGAGAGGGCCTGGAGCGTGTCGAAAGCCCCCGGGGAGATGGTGGCGATCTGGTTGTCATAGAGCGAGAGGAGGCGCACGTTGCGCAGGCCCGTGAAGCTGTCGTTGTGGATGCAGCTGATGCGGTTGTTCCTCAGCATCCTAGGGCCGGGAGAGGAGGGGGAGCCGTGCTGTGCCCACCGCCATCCGCCTGACCTGTGCTCTGGCCACCAGCGGCCAGTTCACAAGTTCTCCTCCAGGGATGCTGGGCCACAGCGCGGGGAGCCCGGCGCCACACCAGCGCCTCTCTCCTGGCCTTCCTGCCCCTGAGATGCCTGCCTCTCCATCCTGCCCACACCGGTCCCCATGCTGAGGACCATCACCTTCATCCCGGGGTGCCCACAGCCTCCCCAACCTCCAGCCCACGCACCACGGTCAACACCTGAGACTTGCCTAACACTTAAACCTGGCCATGTCACTCTCCAGTCTAAAGCCCACAGCAACCTCTAAACTGTGCACAGAATCCTGTTTAAACTCTTTACTACCCAGCCCCAGACCAGCACCTGCCCGCCTCCCCAAGGATGGTCACACTCTCCACCTCTCTGTCCTTCAGGCTTGCTGGCCAGGCCGGCATCCCCACACCTTTCCCCAGCTATGAGCTCCTTCCAGAATGCCCTTCTTCCTCATTTATAGCTGCAAAAGTCTCTGCTCCTCCTTGAACACCTGACCCTATTCTTTCCCACACAAAAACTAAAATCAAGCCTGACATAGGATAGGCAATTCACAAAAGAAGTTAAATGGTTTAAATTAAAATGGATGTACTAGGTGAGGGAGATTAAAAGGCACAAAATTCTGCTGTAAAATAAATGAGTCATGAGCATGAATGTACAGAAATAAATAGTTTATGAACATTCATTGAAAAATGTTCAAACTTACTAGTAATCAAGGACATTTAACTGACATTGCATCTTTGCCTGCCAAATTACAAAATCATTAAAAACAATAATAATAACAATAAGGCCCAGAGTTGGCAAGAGGGTAGAAGGATGGGCACCTTCATGACAGCTGGCAGAACTACTGGGGACCTCCTGTAAGTGTGCCTGGTGAGATGTACCAGGAACCCTAACTGGGACCTGTGTGCTTTCACCCAGCAGGTCTGCCCTTAGAGATTTATCTTTAAGGTAATAATTCCTGATTGGCATAGAATTTCATGATAAAGACATTAATCACAGCATTGCTTGTAATAAAATTAGAATTAGCCTTAATCTCTAATAATTATGTAGCTCCTTTGTCCATGGGGATTCTCCAGGAAAGAATACTGGAGTGGGTTGCCATGCCTTTCTCCAGGGGATCTTCCAGACCCAGGGATCAAACCCAGGTCTCCCTCATTGCAAGCAGATTCTTTACCATCTGAGCCACCAGGGAAGCCCTATGTACTATGTATAATCATTCAAAGGAAATCATAAAGATGCTCACATTATGTTTAAGGAAGAAAAAAGATTACAAAATAAAATGTATTCAAGGATTTCATTAAGATATATCTATCTGTATGTTTGCATGCATGTATGTGGGTGTATGTGTGTATGCATGTAGGTACACGTGTGTGTGTGTGTTAATAATTAAGCGTGACCAATGCAGGGGTTATGGGCACTCCTTTTCCTGTGCCTGCACCACTCCTGCAGGATCTGTCCCAGCACCAGCCCTTCCTCTCTCTTCTGTCTACTCCGAGCCTTCCTTGGAAAGAACTCAAGTGACTGGTTGAATGCCCATGGCACCCTCTCTCAAGGAATACTGTGTGCGTGTTCAGTTGTTCAGTCATGTCCAACTCTGCGACCCCATGGACTGTAGCCCACCAGGCACCTCTGTCCACAGGATTTCCCAGGCAAGAATACTGGAGTGGTTGCCATTTCCTACTCCAGGGGATATTCCTGACCCATGTACTGAACCTGTGTTTCCTGTAATGCAGGCAGATTCTTCACCACTGAGCCATGTGGGTCCTTCAAGAATTTGTAGGCACGTATAAAAAAGAACGAGGCAGCCCTCTATGAAGAACCTGCCACACCAGTGGGAAAAAAAAAAATCTGCAAAATACAGTGCAGAATTAAACCTTTTGTAAAACAGACAAATAAAAATCCACAGGGAATCCTCTCATGCATTTGTTTACCTGATATAAACTCCATGACACATGCTCAGAAAACAAATCTATAGCCTTACTGCCATCTGAGATTTAAATCCAGGGAGGTGGCTTCTAGAAGTGTTGTCCACATGGTAGACACTACCCACATGCAGCCATTTAAATTACTTAAAATGAAATGAAATTCAAAAGTCAGTGCCTCCATAGCCATGTTCACAGGTCAAGTGCTCCCCAGACACATATGGCTATCAGACTGGACAGTGCAGATATAGCATGTGTCTGTCCCTGTGGCAAGTCTAACAAGACAGAACTGTCTCTTGGATGCTCTAAAGGTCTACACCATCACCTGAAGAGCTGGTGCTGCCTGGACAGAGAGAGGAGCTCCCTGCAGATTCACAGAGGAGTGACTGATTCCCGACGTCTGGAGAGCTCTGCCTGGGCTCTGAGTCATGGGGTCCCAGACTCCCACCTACACTGACCTGAGTCACCTCTGTGCCATGTCCCTGCTACTGTAGCACCGGTCACTCCTGAACTAAACACATGTGCTGTGATATCGCAGCCTGACCACAGGGCAATGACAGGAGACCTCAAGAAGGGCCCACGTCCCCATTCCCTCACCTGCCATGAACCCCACACCCCAGGGAACAAGAAGACAGGTCTCATGCCACAGTGACCGGCATCTGATGACTTGGTACGCTTCAGCCAGGGTCCTCAGCCACAGTCCCTCAACTGCTGCAAGCTGGGGCCAGGGTAGAGACACCCCCTCACTCTTCCCTGCCCTTTAATGCAGGTGCCAGCGCTGTGACTCGGCTTCTGCCCCTGCCCCTCTGCTCTCTGGCCGCACACTCACAGCGTCCTCAGGCCGTCCAGGCCCCGGAACATGCCGCTCCGGATGGACTCCAGTTGGTTGGCGGTCAGGTGCAGCTCGCTCACTGAGGCTGCGCCCTCAAAGGCCCCGTCTTCAATCTCCGACACCTTGTTGTTGCTCAGATTGCTGGAAGAGGATTGTGGAGTTCAGGACCCCCTTCCCTGCACCCAGCCCCCATGCACGGAGCCCTGACCCCCACGAGATCTAAGGATTTCCCTTCCCCATCCTGCCCAGCCTCCTGACTGCACCTTCCCGCCAATGGGTAACTCACATTTTCTTCAGATGGGTGAGTTTTTTAAACATCCCGGTGGCCTCCAGGATGGAAATCTCATTGTTGTTTAATCGTCTGTAAGAGACAATGAAGGGAACTTATACATCCATAAAGGACAGACATTAAGGTATCTTCCAAACTGAGATTATTTGGGACTCAAACAAAGGGGACCCCTGGAAGGATTTCTCTGGCTGGGCGAATTGATCCTATTTCAAAGGAAGGTTGGACCAAGTGCTGGGGGGTAAATGGGGGAAATTTTAACATGAAAAATGCCATGAAATGTACACATATAAATAACAGGCATGTGTAGGTGTCCACACACATGCATATACATGTGCACAAATCTTTCATTTTAGAGAAAGAACAATAAAAGAATGGCTTAGGCTACAACTTGAGCTAATGGAATCAGGTCCCCACAAAGAAAGCAAAAGCGTGATTGAGAGAGGCTGCCCTGGTTCAGGCTGGTGACCTGCTCTGGGGGCCAGAGACTGCCCTGGGGCGGAGGGGAAGTGTGTAGAACTGGGAGTCAGGGCACAGGGGCCACTCCCTGCCGGAGCCAGCAGCTGGCATGCTCCTGGGGTGGGGTCTCCAGTGGTCCCCAAATAAAGCTGCAGCAGAGGAAAACCCAGAGAAGACCCAGGAGGGTCAGTGGGAGCTGGGGGGCAGGTGAGGGTGTGGGGCAGCTGGAGACCCTCACAGCTCGGCCGTGGTCTGGGGTATGCGCTCAGGGATCTTGGTGAGCTTCAGGCTGGAGCACTCCACCATGCTGGCCTCGCAGCGGCACTTGTGGGGACAGACCACGTCGCTATTGCACTCGCTATTCAGCCGGTAATCCTCTGTGCCTGGAGTAAGAGGGTGGAGGCCGAGGGCAGAGGGGCTGCCAGCAGCCCTGGCCTGCCTGCCCCAGCCCCCTGCCCACCCACTGGCACCTTCCCACCCAGGCTGGCCTTGGTGCCCCCTCCTACCTGGAATGAAGTACTGCTCTTTGGCTGGAGAGAGAAGGAGAAACACTACGATGCTGGGATCATCCAGGACATGCAGGAAAGCCCAGATCCCCACCCTGCTGCCCAGCAGAAGCCACCCCAGGAACCAGGCTAGGGTTGCCAATCAAGGCCCTGGACCCCACCCACCCAGCTCCTGTGTGCAGGTCTTACTGCTGAGCACTGATGTTCCTTGCCCAGACCAATGGGAGTGGGGATGGTACCTCCCCCAAGTAAACCTCTCCCAGAGGGCACCAAAACCATGGTAATGTTCACAGGTGTGGATGGGCTCAGAGGCTGACCCCCTGCCACCCCAGGGCATGGAGGAAGCAACCATCTCTCTGAGGGGGGTTCCCAGGCCTCCTGGGTGTCTTCTAAGTCTTGAAAGAGCACCGTCCTGGGAGTGGAGCAACCTAGGTTCTTGCCGATCCTCCCTGGGGGATCTGGAGCCAGCTCCACCTCCTCCCCAGGCCTCAAAAGACAAGGACTGGGAACCAGTAGATCCAAGTCTACAATGTGGGTCCTACACCCTCCAGCATGGGTCCAGAGAGGTCCAGTCACCCTTGTTGGAACCACCCAGGAAACACCTCAGGGGCCCTGAGCAGCCTGAAGGCGGGTGGGCGGCTACCTGAGCACCGGAACTTCTTGCTTTTGATCTGGCCGATGCGCTTGTTGGCGAGGCGTCGGGGGCTGGCACAGCGGGCACCACTGGTCTCGATGGGGTTGGAGCGCAGGAAGTCTGCCAGCCACTTGAGGTTACAGTCACAGATGAAGGGGTTCTGGGCCAGATGCCTGTCCAGAGGGGGCAGGTTGGGGATGAAAGACAAAGCTGCTCACTTGTGCGGGTGGACCCCTGATGGGGCCTTGCTGGCTCGTGGTGGGACCCAACTGGCCCCGACGGAGAAGTGCGCCTCCTGGGGACACCGCCTGGGGGCGCCCACCCTCTGCCAGAGCCTCACAGTGGGGACAGACCTCCATCCCCCTGGACCTTCCAGCTGTCCCTTCAAGCCTTACTCTGTCCCCTCTCCTTCTACTCACGTGTCCCTCCCTCTGTTCTGTGACAGACAGGAGTGGAAGCAGGAGTAACCTAGAGACCAGCCAAGGTACCCCTGTCCTTCCAAGAGCGAGATGATGGAATGGACATCGGAACCCAAGACGGTGAACATCCAGGGGCCTTTGGACCCCCAGTGCTATGCGTCCTGGACTGTCCCCTCCCTGTGGCCCCAGGCAGCAGCAGCGTCTCCCCCGCAGCCTTGGTCAGGAGGGGGTGGTGCCCGGGGTGGCAAGGCTGCGGGCTGGGAGGTCTCTAAGTGCCTGCTGCAGGTCCCTCAGCTTTCAGTGGAATTTCCATTCCCACCCCAGGCCATGGGGCTGCCTCCCCTTGACTGTTTTACAGGATGTCTCTTGACACAGGAAACTCAGAAAGCATTGCTGAGTAGCTGCTTACTGGGGAGCCACTCATATCTTCTCACTGGCTCCCTGCGTTACCAGCAGGATACATGTGGGGAGGGGGCAGCTGACAGGTGACACCAGCTAAGGGCACACGGGTCACTGTAAGTGGCCACAGGGGGTCCTTTCCCATTGGCCCTAACCACTCTGCAGGGCTTCCCTGATGGTTCAGAGGGTAAAGAATCCACCTGCAATGCGGGAGACCTGGGTTTGATCCCTGTGTGGGAAGATCCCCTGGAGGAGGACATGGCAACCCACTTCAGTATTTTTGCCTGGAGAATCCCCATGGACAGAGGAGCCTGGCTGGCCGTAGCCCATGGTGTTACAAAGAGTCGGACATGACTGAGCGACAAAGCACGCATCCTGCGGGCTCAGATCAGCCACTTGTGAACCTCCCAGCAGCCAGTTTGCCCACCTGTGTCGGGGCCAGTGCAGCAGTGCATGCCCTGCTATCTACACCGAGACAGCCAGGGGGAAAGAATCCAGCACCTGTCCTGGCTGCTGTACGCAAGAGCCAATGCTTCTGCAGTGACCAGCCCAGAGGATGTGCCATGCCGCGGCCACTCTCCCTCCACGTAATGCCATCAGTTCCAATCATCTACATATTGGTCCCTTCTGGGGTGCAGAGCTCTCCAAGCAGAGAGACGAGCCCTTGCCTAGAGTATGCACCCAGCTCAGCTCGGACCTTGGCCACTCTCTCTCCATCCATCCCTTCCTGGACTCTACCTTCTGGTCACTGGTCAGGATGCCTAGTGACAGCCTTCCCTGCCAGGCTGTCCCTCCACTCCTGTTTGCAGTGCCCACCTCCCTTTCCTGCCTGAGTCTCAGCTCCTGTCAACTGCACCAGATGCGCCAGACCCCTCCCGCCCCTTCTGCCGTCTGCTGGATAAGTTTGTTTCCCGATTTGAACTGCCAGTTTACGCAGGGAAGATGTGTTTGCTGACTCCCCAGGGCAGAATTTGTAGTTAATCTGAAATACACTAGGATTTGGGGGTTATTCTGGGATTGTTCCTGCTGCCCGTCACATCTGTCTGTGCCTTAGTACTCAGCCTCTACCTGAAAGAATTGCTTGCCTCTATCACAATCTTGGCAGAAAATGCTGTTTAAAATCAACTCAAAAAAAACCCAAAAACCAAAACCAAAAAAATCGACTCAATTATGTTATTCAGGCATGTGTTAAAAATGTCCAAGGGGTGCAGAGTAGAATACATACATTTTTAAAGACAGGCTATTTGTGTCAAAAGCAGCCTATAAAAATGCAAACACCCACCAAGGCAAGTGTCTTCTGTATAAAGCTAAGTATCTGACATAAAGTTGAATTTTTAGTAGGTGTAAAGAGAGGGCAACTGGGGAAAGAAAATGCTCAAGAGGATAAAAGTATGTTTGGGAAAAAACAGTCTTGTTAAAGGCACACCCAGGAATAGGTTGCACAAGCTGCCCAACAGTTCTTTTCATGGACATTTCTGAAAGTAGAAGATAGAGGGGAAAACTGATTCCTGGTCTCTTTCTTGGATTATGCATTAAGATGTCACAACTAAAAATCTCTGGGGCAGACACTCAATATCATTAGTCAAATTAAACCCACAATGAACTACCATTTCACACCTACTCGGACGGCTATAATCATAAAGAAAATCAATACCAAGTGTGGTCAAGGATGTAGAGAAATGGGAACCTTCATAACATTGCTGGTGGAAATGTAAAATATGTATAGCCACTTTGGAAAACAGTGGCAGTTTCTTCAAAATTTAAAAATACATTTCCCACGTCATCCAGAAATCCCAAGAGAAATGAAACCCTCTGTCCTCACAAAGATGTGTGAGCAAATATTCACAGTAGCATTATTCATAACAGCCCCAAAGTGGAAATGATCCAGATGTCCATCAACTGGGAAGGAAAAATAGAATGTGCATAAATGGAAAATTATTTGGCAATAAAAAGGAACAAGTATTGATACATGCTTAGAATATGAAGGAACCTCAAAAACATTATGCTAAGCAAAGGAATTCAATCACAAAAGGTGATATATCATATGAGTCCATTTTTGTGAACTATCCAGAAAAGGCAAATCTATGAGACAGAAATTAGATTAGTGGTTGCCTGGGGATGGGCTGGAAATAGGAATTGATTGCAAATGGGCACAAGGGATTTTGGGGGGTAATGGAAATGTTCTAAAATCAAATTGTAGTGATAGTTGAACAGCTGAAAATTTACTAAAAAATCATTGGATTGTACACCCAGAACAGGTGAATTTTATGGCATGTAAGTTATACCTCATCCAACCTTTAAAAAAAAATTTTTTTTTTTAATCTCTTGGGGCAAGTAAAACTACAAAATCAATACTGTGACATAGGGCCCTCAGCCACAGATATCAGAGCTATCGACAAATCAAGCAAGATTTGTTTAAATCTGCTTGGTTCTGACATAAGACTCAGCCAAGGGTTTAACTATCCAAGGCTGTAATAAGACTATCTGATTGTACCTTGGGTTTGCATTTCTATCACTCTTGTTCTGAACTGTACTTCAGTTTTTAATATGTAATAGTTGTTCATGGAAGTTCAGTTTTGTTTTACAGCCTTTAATAATGAGACGGTAAAGAATCTGCTTGCAATGCAGGAGATGCGGGTTCGATCCCTGGGTTGGGAAGATCCTCTGGAGGACAGAATGGCTACCCGCTCCAGTATTCTTGCCTAGAGAATTCCATGGACAGAGGAGCCTGGGGGGCTACAGTCCTTGGGGTCACAAAGAGTCAGACATGATGGAGAGACTAACACACACATTCTTAGGGAAAAAGCACAATTTGGGGGCAAGCTACCTAATTTCTCAGTGCTGGTGAAGAAATACCCAAAGACAAATGCCTGCTCTGCTAGATGTTAGGTGACCTCAGGTCAGTCTATCTCTGCCTCAGTTTCTTAGAAGTAAGGCAGGGAGGACAGTACCTACTCCATAGGTTATTGTGTTAAGATAATATACACAAAGAATAGTGGCCGGGGGTGATTAATAAACTGTGACTAATTATCAGTAATGCTATCAATATTAATACTATTACCACCTCTACCTATGGGAAACCTTCTTCTTCTAACACCCTGCTCCAACACTGTGCCCTACTATGGCCTTCATGGCAGTGGCCAAGATCTCAGGTACGGTGCCCAGGAGGGCAGAAGCGCTCTTGAAATCCAGCCAGGTAAATGGACACAAACAGAATCCACCCCCCATGAGCACAATCTATTTGATGAAAGCCTTCCACCTTGAAAGCGAGGCAGCACTTCACAGGAGATCCTCAGCCCCATTCCCCATCTGCAAGCCTTTCCTGCGTGTGTGTCCCCAGCCCTGAAATCTCCTACTGCGTTGGTCTCAGATGTTCTGCCAGCTTTGTAAAATAACCCATCTTGCCCATGTCTCTCCGTGACCTCTAATTTCACTTGCTTGGCAAGATTTCCTCATGGTGTTCCTTCCCTCTCTCCCTGGCTCTACATAAGTTAATTAGCAGGAATGGGCTGCAGGCGGGTGCCTGGGCTCTAATGAGTTTGTCTTCGTGGCTGACATCCCTGCTGACATGCAGGGTCCCCAGGGAGCAGGAGCTGTGCCTTCTACTTGATCTATTTCCCAGCCCCCACGCAGATCTTAGCTGATGGAGAGCACTGCCCGGTGGGTAAACAGTGGTGGGGGTGACAATGACAACAATGGCCCTGGTAATATTAATAAATGCCTATCAGGCACACATCAAGGAGCCGTGGGTCAGCATGTCAAGTCAAGCTGCAGGCTCACAACTAAAGATGTGGAATGTAGTGCTTGAATCTAACCAAATAGTAGAAGTTTCCCTGTACAGAAGCATTTCACCTAAAAGATAAGGACTTCTTATAAAGGCATAACTGCACCAGCATTATCAAATAGAGAAGGAATGTTAAAATTATCATATCACCACTTCAGGACCCCTAATAAAGGAGTGGGTCTAGGCACTGAAATCAGTGGCGGTGTTTACTAAAAAAGAAAGAAAATCAGATATCGTGAGCCTCCTGATGAAAGTACACAATACTATGAGGTCATCTTGCCAGAAAAAGAAAAAATACCTGAGCCTGATGCAAGTTCTTAAAAGAAAATTTCTATTTACAGGACATAGAACAGAGGAACATGTGAAATTATACCACAGGGGATGAAGTCAGCAAATCCAGAATGTGGGGAACTCTACAAATCCAGAAAAGCAGTGTCTTCAAAAAATAAAGTGCAAGGGAAAAGGAGATGGAGAGGATACCTATAGGTTAAAAACAATTTAAGTGGTACACCAACAAATATCAGTCAATTATATCGCATAGAACTTATTTATTTATTTATGAGGGAGAGGACTTTAAAATGCTTTTTATTTAAAATTTTATTTTTATACAGTTCTTAAATGTTACTTTCCATGTACAGTTACTACAAAGTATTGGCTATATTCCCTGTGTTGGCATCCTTAGTTTGGCATCCCTCTCCCCTTCCCCCGTGCTTCCCCCACTGGTAACCATTAGTTTGATCTCTGTGTCTATGAGCCTGCTTCTTGTTCATTATAACCACTAATTTGTCATATTCTTTAGTTTCCACATGTAAGTGATATCATACAATATTTGTCTTCCTCTGTCTGACTTATTTCACTTAGCATAATGCCCTTTAAGTCCACCTGTGTTGCTGCAAAGGGTAAAATTTCATTCCTTTTTGTGGCTGAGTAGTATTCCACTGTATGTTTAGATCATGTCTTCTTTAGCCATTCATGTATTCTTGGACACTTAGGTTGCTCCATATCTTGGCTATTATAAATAGTGCTGCTATGAACATTGGGGTATAATGTATTGCATTAGTGTTTTTGGTTCTTTTGGTTATATACCCAGAGTCGAACTGCTGAGTTATATGGTAGTTCTATTTTTAGCTTTTTGAGACACCTCCATACTGTTCTCCACCACGAACATACCAATTTACCTTTCCACCAACGGGGCATGCATAGGCCTTATTTACATCCTGACCCAAACAAATTATTTTTAAAATTGTATGATATGTAGGAGACATTTGGAAATTTGAACATTAATTAGATAGTTGATGATTTTAAAGAACTGTTGTATTTTTAGATATAACAAGAGTGTTGTGTGTTTTTAGAGTTCTTGCTTTTTATAAATATGTATGAATTCTGTGTTGATGATAAATGATGTCTGGGAGGCATGAAAGGAGGGACAGAGAGATGAAGCAAGACTGACTGGCTATGAGTTAAAGCTGGCAGACAAGCACTGGGAGGTCTGCTGTGCTACTTTTAAATGCTTTTAATTTTCTATAATAAAAGACTAAAGCAAACTCCTAGAATTACTGCTCTCTAATTTTAATTTATAATTATCACTACTGCCACTGTCTTTCACTTAAGACACTATCAATTGCAAGATGCACTAATATTAATATTTTACATATCATCAAGAAAGAACAAAATGCTGCCAATTAAATAAGCCATCAAGTATAACATGCAATCCAATTCCATAGCTGTTACTGTGGAGACAATGCATGTCTTAGAATCAACGGGTAGTAATAATAATAAAAATTGTAGCCAGCATTTAAGAAGCATTTGCAGTAAGCTAAGCTCCATACAAACATCTCTTTTAATCTCATAACAACCCTGTGAGGATGAAGTTCTCATTCTTTGAATGAGTAAACTGAGCCCCAGAGAAGCTAACTAATTTGCTTAGGGCCACACAGCCAAGAGCCATAACTGGAATTTGAATCCAGGGTTGTCTAAGCCAGAATCTGACCTCCACTAGACACCTGCTTATACCTAGAGGCTCTTATCTCCCCGAGGTCCACCTGCTGGGGTGTGGGAGGGGCAAGAGGGCACTCACAGGGTCTGGATGGCCCGCAGGGAGGTGAAGGTGCCCTTAGCGAGACTCTGGATCTTGTTGTCATACAGCGAGAGCAGTGAGAGGTTCTGCAGATCCTGGAAGGCGTCGAGCCGGATGCAGTTGATCTTGTTGGCATTCAGGAGCCTGTGGGCAGAGCCAGGCAGGTGGTGAGAGAAGTGGACGCATCATGTCTTGGGCTCCTTCCTAGGCACGGACCACGTGTTAGGTCAGGAAGGAGTCCATGGGAGCAGGCACAGGGGATCTGCCCTCTGGATGTCCGCTCCATGCAGAGGAGCTGAGAACTCCGGCTGCCTTCTCTATGCACAGGGACCATTTAGCCCCCATGGGTCTCTCTTTCAAGGGACTGCTAGAGGTGCCTGCCCCATGGGATTCTGGGACAGCCATGAGCACAGTGGCCAGGCCACCTCCCAAAGGCATTTGGGGGATCCTCTGGTTCCCCTTCTGCTGGGTTTCCCAGGCAGCTGAGAGGGAGTGTCTGACTTGTGTGCTTCTCGGGTCCTGGGAGAGAACCTTGCCTGAACGCTCAAGGTTCAAAGAGCCTGGCCTGGGCCTGGGTGTCCCCTGCAGGAGACAACTCCATCCCCAGCCACAGTGAGCATTCAGGAACAAAGGCTGCATCTCATGGACCTCTCCACTCAGGCATCCTGCGATCAGCTCTGAATCCACCTCTCTGGCCCCTCACAGCCCTGCCAGGTCTGCTGTCTCCCAAGCTCCTTGTCTCCAGTGAGTCCCACACCCCAAAGAGGCTGAAGGGCCAGGCTGAGAGGCCGGAGGAATACTGCCCCCCTCTATGGGTCCCACCCAAGGTCACTGGCATTCAGGTCCTTACAGGAGCTGTAGGGTGAACAGGCCTCCAAACACGCCCCGGGGGAGGTCTGTGATCTTGTTCCCGTAGAGGACCCTGGAAAGAAGGCAGTGGAAAGGGAGAGTTAGAGGACTGCCCTGCACAGCTCTCCAAGCCCTGCCCTAAGCCTTTCACACTGCTGGTCCCACTGGTGTAGGCTTGTTCTAACAGCGGCCAGTAGATGGCAGTAAAGTGCACCGGGAAGGGGTCATGGTCCCTAATCAGTGCAAAGGTGACCTATAGGCTAGAGGCAGCCATGACCCCCACCACTTCGAGAGCACCCACTCACTCACTCTCTGCCCTCAAGCACGGATCCCATGGAAGCCTGCAAAAGGGCCCTCCTGGGGAAGCTCATGGGAAATTAACCTGCTTAGGGATCCGAAGGGAGATTGTTCAGAGAAGAAAATCCCAAGGGCAGGAAAAATCATCTTTTCAGAGAATTACAGGCAAAAACTGGGATCCCAGACAGCACATATGGTATAAGCTCCAGCACGTCAAGCGACACTTTCCAGCACCGATAAAACATTATCACAAGAAGGAAACAGACCAAAGTGTCAGCTGGACTTTGATCTGGTGGCAGGATTGCAAGTGGGTTGTTTTATGCTTTAGAATTTACAAAATTTCCTTCATGGAACATGAAATATACATATAATCAGAAAAAAATGAAAATGTTCAAAAAAGACATGCAGGCAGGAATGGGGTCAGACAGACGTTGGAAGTGTCATGGAGATCTGGAGTGGGGGGTGTGTTTCACTCCAATTTCACAAGCTGCACCCCCCCACCCCCACCCCTCCAGCCACTCCTGGAAACACTCCATCTGAGTAAAAACAGTGTGCTCTCTCTTTGAGATCTCTCTTGGAGGAGGGCACAGTGGGAGCTAAGTAGGTTCCAGGCTGGCCCGAGCAGACAGCTTCACTATGGTTTGGATGCAGGAAACAAAGTGGACAGTAGCTTGAATCTCAGCCAGCCAGCACCAGGAGGACTCTGAGACATGATCTGATTTGGAAAGATCCCTCCAACTGCTGTGTGGGGAGTGGAATGGGTGGGAGTTGAGGCAGGGAGACCAGGTCAGGGCCTGCAAGGTAGACATTATCAAAGGGGTCTTTTTGCATGACCTCAGCATGAAAGTTCCTATATGGTGAGGAGGCGTGACAGGAACCCACTTGGATGGGTTAGATGTCATGTTCCAATTTAGGAGATTTATTCACTTTTCTGAAAAAGACTCTGCATTTTAGCGGCCATCTTCAGGATCTGATCTCCTCAGCCAGTGATAGTGACCCATCACTAGGCTGTCAAGTACAGCTGTGCAGGTTGCACACTGCACAACTTTCTGCGATTCACAATGGCCCCACCCACTACCTTGGATTCTATCCCAAGAGAAGAGGGTGCACGTGGAAGGCACTGAGCTGACAGCCTCCTATAGTACCCTGGAGGGAGTTCCATTCTGTTCCACTTCCCAGGCCCCAAATCAATGTCAAGCATGTGTCCAGTGCTGCCAAGGAACTCATCCCCACTCATTTCCAAGAGTGATGAATAGCCCCCATCAACAGGGAGCTTGCTTCACTATAGGGCACCCTGAGTTCACTCGCTGGAGTCAATGCACCATGGGACCTCAGAGAGTGAGAGGCTTGGTGAACCTGGGAGTGCAAGAAAGAGTTCTTGGAAAAAGAGAGATGAAGCAACATCTCCTAGACTAATTTTTGATGCCACACAGTGTTTTGTAGATTGATGGGTCCCCAATAAACTGTTGAGGGAAGGGAAATACTGGACAGGGTTAGGGAGCAGGTAGGCAGGAAACATGGTCTTCACCATCACCCACCACAGCCTAAGATCAGAGCATGTCTGGGACAAAAGTTATAAGCTGTGGCAGATTTCACAACTAGAGCTGGTGGTTGCTGCCATTCCCTAACCCAGGGAATGCTTAGGAGAACAGAGTACTGGGCCTCTGTGTGGAGGCAGGGCCAACATGAAGGCTGGACTGAGCCAGATGACTGCCACAAAGAATGCTGGGAAAATCCCCGTTGCTAAAGCAAGAGCGTCACTGTTGCCAGGGGCAACAGCTCTGCCTAGCTTTTCCATGCACTCAGCCCTGATTCCCTCCTCCCCCTCCCAGCTGCAGAGGGTCCACAAAGAGGAAGGGAAAGCTGAGCACAACAACCCTGGGCACTGCAGCCAGAGCGAGACCCACTGAGGCTGCGTGGGTGGCGACACATTCCTTCTCTCACACCCACCAGAGGTGCCCTGGGGCGATGCCATGGACCACTGCAGAGCCTTGGCACTGCTACTCACAGTGAGTTCAGGGACCGGAGGCCCTGGAAGGCATCAGGCGCAATCTCCGAGATCTGGTTGTTGCTCAAGTCTCTGCAAGGTGAGCAGAGGAGAGAGAGTGGCTGAATCTCTCAATGGCCACTGAGCCCTGCCTGCCCCCTGCCTCCCAGATACCATAGGAGGGCAGAGGTTTCTTTGAAATTAGGAAAGAGAAGGGCCAGTTCTCCTATCCATCCAAGGACCATGCACAGGGGGGCAACCCAGCTATCCCCTACACACACTCCTCACAGCCTCAGTTGCTCCTATTGGTGCCCAAGCTGAAATGGGAGGATGACAGTCAGTTCTGGTCATGTGCCAGACTCGGACTCAGCATCCTCTTTAGGCCTTGTGACAACCCTTCAAGGAGGTGGCCCCACCACCATCCCCATATCACAGATGAGCCTGGGAGGAAAGCCAGGTGATGGCTTGGCCCTAGGCACAGCCATGGGAGGCAGAGTCAGCACCTGTCCCGGGGCACTGGCATGCCTGGTCCAGGCTCTGCCCCATGCTGACCCCCAGGAAACAGCAGAAGGCACTCACATCCTCCGCAGCTTTCTGTAGGGAGAGAAGGCCCCTGGGGGGATGGACTTGATCCCGTTGAGCTCCAGGCGGCTGCAGAAAGAAAACACAGAAGAAGGTCAAGGGCAGGTCGCTTCACCCAAATTGTCACCGAAACCAGGCCCTTTACCCATCAGTCCTTGCTCCCATCCTCGTCTGGAGTAGGAGGGCTGTCACAGGCAGAGAAAAGGAACTGGTTTTGAGTGCCACTATCCCAAGCTGGCATGACTGAATGGGGCTCATGTAAGATGTTAATACCAAGAAACCAATTCTAGCAGACTGGCCCAGCCGGGCTGGACAGATGGACCACAGAGGGACACCCCTCCCCAACCTTCCAGAGTGCCAGCCGTGGGCAGAGAGCTTAGCCCAACTGAGGCAAAGTGTAGAGGGGCCTTGGGGTAGGGCCCGCTCTGGCTCCTCCCTGGACCACCAGAGCCTGGCCGGCCCTGCCTGTACTCACATCTCTGTCATGGTCTCGGGCAGGTTGGCAGGGATGGCGGTCAGGCCTTTGCCACGACAGTCCACAATGCCGTTGCTGCAGGCACACATGGCCGGACAGGAGCCGGAGGAGAGGGTGCAGGAGGGCACGCGCCCCGCCTCCCCCTGGCCTGCGGAAACAGCATCCGGTGTTTGCTGAACTTGAATCTGAACCTAACTGTGCTGCACGAAAATGTGAATTGCACACTAAGAAATCCTAGCCTCGGTTCTGAAGCTCTGGGTTCTAGTCCAAGTCACTGGACACTTCTGGCTTGAATATAAGAAGGACCATATTTATCCCGTGCATACGCTGTGCCACATGTTGTGATAAGGGTTGTGCATGTAACATCTCATTGACTCCTACTGCAGAACCCTGCAAAGAGCATGATAGCATTGTGGCCACTTTCCAGGTGAGAAAATGGAGTCCTCGATATTAACCTGTGGAAGTGACACCGCTAATGAGAGGTGCATTCAGGGTGAAGCCCAGTGTCTGATGAAGGGCCCATGTCTTTTAATACTGATGTATCACTTATACCGAGTGTACCGTCTTAAGTGTAGAGCTGATCCAATTCCCACATATGGATACAGTCACAGGATCACCCCCTCATCATGGAATATTTCTATCACTTAAGAAGTTTCCCTCATGCTCCTTCCCTGAGGTAGCCAGTGTTCTGAGATCTCTCACCAAAGATTTGTTCTGCTGTCTGTGGACCTGAGTGAAACCAGACCATAGGCTCTCTTACCTCTGGTTTCTTTTCACTCAAGGTAAAATTTTTGAGATTCGCCCATTGTACTGTATGAGTACACAGTTTTTTCTTTTTCACTGCTGAGTCATAGTCTATTGTATGGCTCTGTCATCACTGGCTAATTCAATCTCATGCTGGTGGACATGCGGGTGATCTCCAACTTTGGGATATCATGACGGAAACTGCTTGGCTATTCTCAGCCCTGTGTTTTGTCTAACACACGCACACCCCCAGCCCAGAGCTGCAGGGTCGTGTCTCACACACACAGCAGCCCTGAGCACAGGGGCACCGGCGCTGAGGAGGAAGAGACAGCCACCCCACCCCATCCCCAGCATCCTCATGCTGAGGAGAGGAAGCCAACCTCTGTGTGACTGGTGGGCTTGGGTCCACAGGCTCGGGAGAAATGGGCAGCATCTGATCCTCTGCCATGAATCTGTAAGCTGGTCACTTACTCAGCGAACATTCCCTGAGCACCTATCTCTGTGTCAAGTGTGAGCAAAGTGCTAAGAAATGACCAGAGAATACAGCACATGTGCCCATGTGCTCATGGACCTTGCAACCAGTCCATGGGAAGTCCCATCTGGGGCTCTGCAGGGTGAGGACCAGGCGAGGGCGGCAAGGCGGGGACCGTATACCCAGCAGGGGAACAGCCTTCCAGAAGGCCAAGTGGGAGGCACCTGCTCCCGGGAAGGGCAGAGATGAGCCCACTGGGATGGAAGAGTGAGGAAGCCACTAGGTAGCGGAGGCAGAGGTGACCCGGCCCAGCCTTGACGAGCTGGAGGCCAGCTTGGACTCTACCAGGAGCACGGGAGGCCAGGTGAGGACGAAGCAACAGCAACCAGTCCAGATTTGTCAGTCCCTCTAGATTTTTCTGGCTGCAGTGTGGAGATTGGAAGGACCAGACAGGAGGTAGGGTGACCAGAAAAGAGGCCCTCACAGGGTCCCAGGTGGAAGATGGAGGTACAGGCTCTGGAGTCTGTCTTGCCTCGAGCCAAGGCTGCTGCTGCTGCTAAGTCACTTCAGTCGTGTACGACTCTGTGCGACCCCATAGACGGCAGCCCACCAGGCTCCACCGTCCCCGGGATTCTCCAGGCAAGAACACTGGAGTGGGTTGCCATTTCCTTCTCCAATTCATGAAAGTGAAAAGTGAAAGTGAAGTCATTCAATCATGTCCTACTCTTAGCGACCCCATGGACTGCAGCCCACCAGGCACCTCCGTCCATGGGATTTTCCAGGCAAGAGTACTGGAGTGGGGTGCCATTGCTTTCTCTGGAACCAAGGCTAGAAGGCCCAATTCAATGATTTTTCAAGGTAGCACAGTGAGGGAAGGGAGAGGTGGGAATAGGAGGGGGCAAGGAGTGGAGGAAGTGAGGGGTAGGAGTTGAGGGGCTAGAGGGAAGGGGAGGGAGGAATGGGCTGGCAGCATTAGGTAGAAGCAAAAGGGCGGCATTGAGTAGAAGGGATGGGACAGAGGGACAATGGGTAGGCAACAGGAAAGAACTGAGGGTACGAGACTGGAGGGGAAATGCAGTGGAGGCAAGAGGTGATGCGTAGAGACAAAGGCAATGGGTGAGAGCAGGAGGTAATGGCTGAGGCAGGAGACGGAGGTGATTGAGGACAGGAGGCAATGAGTCTGGACAGGAGAGAGTGGGTGAGCGTAGGAGATGGTGTGTGGTCCAAGAGGCATCCACGGATGAGGACAGGGGTCTTGGTGGCCCAGATGTGAATGCATGGTGACAGGAGGCCATGAGCGGGAACAGGATGTGGGCAGAATGGGCAGGCGATGGGGATCCGAGAGCCCCAGCAGGGCCGGCACCCACCTGAGCAGCTGAACTCACTCTTCTGGACCTCGGCCACGTTGAGCCCACGCAGGCCAGCAGGGCCCGAGCACTGGGTGAAGAGCCCGATGGTTGGCCGTTGCCTCAGCCACTGGGAGAGCCAGGCCAGGTGGCAGTCACAGAACAGGTGGTTGGAGTGCAGGCGGCTGCAGGGGATGGGCGGGGACAGGGAGGCTCACAACCCACCTGGGTCCCCAGCCCCTGGAAACATTGGGGCGTAGCCCCTCCGCTCAGCAGGGGTAGGGGGTCGAGCCACTGGCACTCCACTCAGTCACACGCTCACTGAGCTCGCAGACACCCTCCCCTCGAATCACTTAACTCACCTTCAAACACAAAAAAAATTATCTGCCGTCCAAGGGAAACATCAAACAAAAAAGGCATTCAACATCCTTCCCTCTTAGATCACTCCCCCTCCTCCAGCCCCACTCAGCCCCCGCCCTGGGGTGACCTCTGGGTTCGCAGAGGAGGCCAAGCTCTCCCCACCCCCACCCCAAGCCCCAACACCTTCCCAACTGGGCGCTGTGCTCTCGGGCGCCTCGGGCTGACTCACAAGGTCCGCAGCTTGGGCATGTGGTTGAAGCTGGACACCGGGATGGTGGTGATGTTATTGTTGTTCAGGGTCCTGAGTTGGGGGGAACCAAGGTCACTTAGCATCGGTCCAGCAGGAAGCTGCGCGGGAAGCGGGGGGACCTGGCTTCTCTCTCACAGGGCACCCACAGTCCACCCGAGAAGGCCCAGCTGGGCTGGACCCGGGGGCTATGCCAGAGAGCCAACCTCAGGGGGGAACCCTGAGCTGGGACAATGACGAAGAGAGAGCTGTGCCATAGACTCTGAGGCTGGTAGGACAGGGGACGGGGAGCCAGGAGGGGAGGCTGGGTGTAGGCTCTGGCTGGCTTGGAAAGCGTGGGGCTCACGCAGACAGAGTGAGGAAGAGGGGGCATTCCAGCCTCGTGTGTTAGAAACTCTGGAGAGACAAAGCCACTCACGCTAGGGCTTCATCACAAGCAGTTTAAGCCCGGGTCACATGGCCACAGGCAGGATCCCAGGAGCACGAGCCCTTCTGTCCTCGGGCAGCAAGTCCTGGACCTAGAGCCCACCTCCCGGTACCCTCGCCTTTCGTGCAGCTGCTGGGCCCCTGAGGCCTGGGTCAGCTTGGCTCTCCTGCCTTCGCCTCCCTTCCTAGGCTTTACTTACAGCACCTCCAACCCCCGCAGAGCCCGGAAAGCTCCTTCCTCAATGCAGCCAATCTGGTTCTTATCCAGCTGTCTGTGAAGCAAAGGAACATGGTAGAGAGGATGGCACATTACCTATAGCAGGGATGACCCAGCATTCCACCCAGCACTCCACTAGTTCCAAACACAGAGGCCTGACCCCAATCATTTGTCCAGTATACACACAGTGATATGATTAACCGTTAATAAAAAGCTTAAAGTCTTTCTTATTTTTAAAACAGTAAGTATAAGCAAGTTATATTATATTCCTCTACCCAACCTTGCACATCTCCTGGGGAGCAGGTACCCCTCCACTTTAGAGACCACCTAGAGGGTGCTGGAAGCTGTAAAATGAGAGTCTACCATAGGGGCCGTCGCAGCCAGAGCTGCCAAACAGATTTCAGCCTGAGGGCCAAGTGAGACCGACTTGAGGAAGCTACCTGGAGTGCTGCTTCCAGGATACACTGAAGCTGTGATTGGGCTCCTTGTGGAAGAATGCAGTGACCGATTACCAATGTCTACTACAGGAACGGGGACTAGGAGGAAAGTGATAAGCATGCCAGGCATTTGCCATCACTACGGCAGTCAGACCTGGGATGGGCTGGAGTATAAGCTTGGACTAGAATAAATATGAATAATAGAAATAAGCCATTACATTTACACAGCATTCAACAGTGTATTCATTTCCAGATCTCATTTCAAACTCAGAGCAAGCTTGTGACATATATATGATGCCCCCGTTTTGCAGAACAACATATAGAGGCTTGGTGAAATTAACTGACTTGCAACAGCTTATACAATTTGGACCTGCCAAGAAAAAGGAAACAGTCAAACCCAGCTCTCCCCACCCACTGAAGGGCAAGGGCACGGAGACTGTTCATTTCAATGGAACAAGAATCCCACCATTGATGACACTCCTTTCAACTGGGTCCCCCAAGGCTGCTGAAATGCTTTCTCCCACCCTAGATTGTTCCATAAGACCATGCTGGCAAGAGCCATCTCAGAGCCCAGACCGGCTCCCTGGTTGCCTGGACCACAGGGCTCAGGAAGACCCATCAGGATGCTGCCAGGGGTGGCCCTGCAGCTCCAAAGCCCCCTTCCCTCTCAGGCCTATACTCACAAATTTTTGAGATCTGTAGCTCCACGGAAAGCCTTTCTGGGGATGGCCTGGATGGTGTTCTCACTTAGGTCCCTGTGAGGACAAAGCCAGAGGGAGAAAAAAATAATCAGAAACATTTCTCCAGAGCAGTCTGAAGAGCCAGGGAGGTCAAGCGAGCCAGACGGTACCCGGACCAGACGGAGCTGTGTCCTGGCACCTGGGACAGTGCTCAGCACACAAAGATCACTGGCAAACATTTGTCAAATGAATGAATGAACGAGTCGGAGCTCAGGACCCCACCACTGCCCCTTCTCTGGGCAGAGGATTTGCAGCTGGAGGGTGCAGCCTGGGGCAGTGGTCAGAGATCCGCTCCACCAGCCCCCAACGCTTTACGCCAGATCCGCGGGGGTCAGCTTGGCCCCGAGGCCTCCTCCAGGGCTGCAAAGGAAAGAGCAGGGGCCTCTTGACAGAGCCCCTGGCCGCCCCAGATCTGTAGCGAGTCTTCTCATAGCTCACTGTGTGTTTTGCTGAGCAGGAACTGAGGTACCAGAAGAAGGCACAGCTGGATCCCAGATAACCCAGCAGTAGGGAGCCCACCTTGATCATGAACTCCAGGCTGGAGCTGACTCCAGGTGCTGTGGTCTCGCGGTCGGCGAGGACCAGGGCTGCTACTAAGCCTGGGCCCACCCTGGGGACTAAGCATGCCCACCTAGGGAACACAGGACTGCATCCTAGCCCTGAGGTGTGGAGGGCAGGGACCACCCAGGACTTCATCACCTCCCCCTTATTAACATCCTGAAGTGAGGGAGGAGGCACAGCGGGGACTTAGCGAACCAGCTTCCCCTCCCTGGCAGGACTGGGCCTCGGGTTCCTGTCCATTTGCCTCTCCTCCCTCTCTCAGTCCTCACTGCAGACTTTTATAAATGTCCCTTTGCTTCCCACAGTGGGGATAACAACTGCCCCCAACCCCTGCCCCGCCCAGCACATCACAGTGTGGGGCAAATACTATCACCATCCCCATTGCAGTAAGTGGGAAAGGGAGGCTCAGAGAAGTTATGCAGCTTCTTTAAGGGACAAAAACTGGGGGTGGGGGTAGGGGGAGTGCTCCAGAAGCTGAACCTAGCAGTCAGGTCCCAGAGCCTCCCCATGCGCTGCAGCCGATCTCTGACAATCTCTGGTGGCCTGGGCTGCTGGTCCCAACTCAGGACCCTATGTCGGACAGTTCGGCAGACCTAGGACCCTCCTCCTGGGCTAGACCCATGGGGCTTTGACCACTTCCTTCCTTTTAGCCATTCACCCCATGAGCCTCAGGGTTTACCTTGAGCCCCAAGAACACAGCCCACAGGGCTCCCCATTGGGAATTCCCTAAGCTGTGGGAACCACTCCCCTTAGCCTGAGTTTTTCTGGCTGAGACAATGAAACAGAAGTGCCGAAGCAGAGTGCACAGGGCCCTGACCTCGAAAAGACTGGTTCGAATCCCATCTCCCCACTTCCTGGCTTTGAGTCTGTGGGTCTACCCTTTTTCCTCCTGAGCCCTAGTTTCCTTGTGTGCAAAGTTGGGGAACAGCTGCCCCTAAAACTCTGCCCCCCAGACAGGGTGTGAGCCGACATCTCTGAGCTCCCTTCTCCCCAAACCCCGGCCCCTCCTGTCCCCCAGCCGCCTAACCCACCCCAAGCACCTGTGGTCTCAAAGGGCTTTGTCACCATCACACCCCATGTCCCTGCTCACTCTCTCCTTGAAAGAAGGCGTCTCAAGCCTGTAACACAGACTCTCCTCTTTCTCCTCCATAACTACATCTCAGCTGTGTCTGGCTTCATCTAAGCTGCCTGTCTCTGTCCCAGCTAGCAATTCACCCTTCAGCCAAGCCTGGCAGGGGACTCTGGGCTGAACTCCCCACCGTTATTCCATTTAGTCCTCACTACAGCCCTGCAAGGAAGGTTTTTTTATTTGTATTGATCAGTGTATTGATTTAGGCCAACCTTGTTCCAGAAAGGCTTGCAGGTGGCTTATAGGGATTTATAAAACAGCAAGAGTGCAGAAGTAAAAAGTAGGGCAAAGAGAAGACAAATCAATGCACCGAGCATGCAACATCACATGACCCATATAGCTGCTGGGTCGGGACTGAGGGTGGGTGTGAAGCTTTCTGAGAACCCATGTGTAAAGGGAAAACTGGTCGGTTAATTGCATCCTCGATACATGTATAAACTCAAAATAACCTATTTCTCAGGAGTAATAGCTGTTTGGGGCACTAAGATGCGACAACAATTTCTCCAGGGGTCTTTGTAAAAAATGACTGAGTGTCCTAATCAATAATGTTAGATCCATATAATAAATGGGTTTCATGTGTGTTTCTTAGAGTAGCATTGCATCAAAGTATGACTCGGGCAGAGCAATTCTGTAAGGATGCACACCAGGAGCTAAGTGGGGACGGGAGGGACAGGAACGGTCTGTCAAAGGCAGGAGGCATGAGCCTGGCTCGATCTGGGAACAGCTGGGAGCAGGAGCGGGTGTGTGGAGGGTGTTGAAAGGAAAAAGCCTTGCCAAACAGAGGAGGTGACAGTTGCACCAGAGAGGGGTGTGATCTGATGGCCTTTTAGACATGGCTCTGGGGCACCAAAGCTTATAGAGAAAAGATGCTGCCCCCAATGGCTATCAAGTGCCACTTAATGAGGTGAAAGTCCAGGGGTGGATGTGGGTATGGTGCTCATGCTATTAAAAAGAGTAAAGGAAACTGAATTTGAGACCCTGGAAGAGTCTAGGGTCTAGACCACAGGGAAACAGCCGAGGCTTGGAGAGTTGAGGACACGCAGGGTGCTGACAGCAGAGACCCCAAACTCTACCATGGAAGGATCTAAATGCAGCTCCTGCTTCTGCCTGAGGGCCCCGGAAGCTACACAGCTGAGAGCTTCAGTTACCCTATTTGTAGTATGAGAGTTAAACTATCTACCCCACAGGGCTTTGAAGAAGAGAGTTCATGCATTTACGCTTCTGTTGGAGTCCCTCCATTTGGCAGTTTTTAAGAAATGCTGGCTTTGTCCCAACTGAAGCACGGCCCCCCAATCTCTTTGCTAAGGTTCTGTTGTTTCCAATTTTCTCACTAGTCACTAGGGGGCGCCAGAAGCCATCCCTGGACTTGGATGCCTGCTCAGCCATTTGGCAAACCCAAAACTCTTTACTTTTTTGCCCCAGCGGACCCCCTATCTGGTCAACAACTATCTTGTCTTTCCCAAGCCTCTGTGAAATAAAGTTCCTCATCTCCATTTTCACCACGTTGGCATGCAAACTCCAAAGGTCCCACCTATGACTTTCCTCATCGTATTTCCCCAGGTCCAGAGCCCCCTTGTTCTCCCTGAAACTTGGTCGTTGTTGCTCCCATTCTCCTCTCTCGGTGCCCTTATCAGAGCCCCTGAAGTGAGGTGCACGCATGGCCCCGGGTGTGTCGGGGCAGGATGCGGTATACTGAGGGGGGCCATCCTGGAAGAGGGGGTGCTCTGCAGCTGGGAGGAGAAACCAAAACCCGGAGCGGCTGGTGGCCCGATCCTGGCCACAGGAGGCCCAGGGCACACAGCCACGGGGCAGACAGCGGCTCAGAAGGCGGCCTCAGGCCAGACAGCAAGAATCAGATTACCAGAGCAAGGACGCAGCAAGCAGACCAGGGACCGGTCTACAGGTAAGAATGGGGTCCTAGACCTCTGACAAGCTCCCAGGAAGCACACACTGAGAGGCCAAGGTTCTCATCTGCAAAATGGGGGTAAGAAGTGGCACCTACCTTGTAGGATCTGATGTGACAGGCACTGGGTGCTCTGACAGAGGCTGCCGTCCCCTCAGATCGCTTCTGCCACAGGACCTCTGCCCTTCCTTTCCCTCTGCCAAAACTATTCTCCCTCCACTCTCCCCCTGGTAACTCCTATTCATCCTTCATATCTCAGTCTACAGACACCTCCCTTCATAGCTCCCTCTGCTACAGGTTCCCAAGGCCCCTGTGATTTTCCTTTTCAGCACAAATCCAGGCTTATAATGAAATATTTGTGTAATGAGCGTAATAAAATATTGATTTTTGGTTTTTTTGATTTAGCCTCCAATCTCTGGCTCCAGACCGTGTATCCCTCCCTAGACGTAGTGCACTGCCGGTGCTCAGTAACATTTAGCTGAACAAAGTGGTGCCCTCCGTGAGTCTCTTGCAGCAATCCCTCTGCATTTTCCTGACTAAACAAGGAGTTAGGACAGGCCTTGGGGCTGAGAGGGGAAAGCAGGGACCTGGGGCAGGATGGCTGGCTCTGTGTCAACCTTGTGGGACCAAACCTCTTCCCGGATACAGGGTATGGTTGTCCCTTCTCTGCCTGGCACCCAGCTACGGAGAGGTCTGAAGTGGGGGTGGCGGGGTTGTGCTGGAGAAGCACCTGTGGCCACTGGGGTTAGAATCAACCTGCCCTGTCCCACATCTGTGGTGACAGAACTCTGGTCACCACCCTCCGTGGCTCTGAGGTGATCCCAGCTGCATAAGCAGAGGGGTTGAGGAATCTCTGAGGAAGGTGACTGAGTGACTCTTGTGGGACCCAGAGGAGGAGGGGGAGCTGGATCCCTGGAGTCCATGGTGGGGGTGGGTCTCGAACTCAGGGTGCAAGCATCCCCTGCTTGAACCCCACCCCCCAAGATGAGGGGCCCTGAGAGGCAGGCTGCGGCTAATAGCACCCTCCTGGAGTCTGGGACACCCCAGTGAGCCCAGCTGGGTCCCTTCTCTTCAGGGAGGCCCACACCGTGGCTCAAGCACCCCAGGGAGCCGGGCTGGGCCCCTCCCCTGAAGAGAAGGGGGCAGCAGACCCGCACCCTGGCTCAGGTACCCTCCCAGAAGCCCTCACTCCTGTCGCTCTCCTCCTGCCAATCCCTCCAGCCTCCGCCAGGGCTGGGGAGGCGGGGGCTGGGAAGCCAAGGTTGAGACCCCATGTTCTCACTGCTAATCCCCCTTCACGCTCTAACTAGATTGGGTTCTGCTGGCAGCCTGGCCTCTGAGGAAATCAAAGCCAGACTTGGCCTGGGTTCCTGCCCGTCCCCTGACGGCCCCACTGCAGAGCTCGAGGCCTGCTCGGTCTGCCTGTCAAGATGCGTGGAGTCTCTGGGCAAACTGGCCTGTCCTCT